TGCGGTGCGATTTAAGGTGGTCGGGAGGAGATGGTGGCGGCCGCCGGTCCCTCGCCCCGAGAGACCCGGCAACGTGCGGAAAATCAGGCCGAGGAACGGGGAGAGTTTGGGAAATTCCACCCCCCACCCCCCCTTCCCCGCGTCCACTCCCCGCCTAGTCCTTCCAGGCGAGTCCTGCTCTAGCACTGAAGGTGGGGCTTAAATGTATTAATATTAAAAAAGCGCTGTTGACCTATATTTGGAGGAAACCCATTTCCAGTGTCTAGATTGCATGTAGTTTCTGAAACTCCGGGATTAGCAGAGCAATTGACTTCGCTGAGCTCTCTGTTGAGCATGAATTATAATTACGAGGTGACTCGGAGCGGTTCTCTTTCTCTCTCTCTTTCTCTCACCTTTATCTTTTTTTCCCATTCTTTCTTTTTGTTCATAAAATAGTTCCGCAATCCGATTCCACCCGAAATCCAATATTTACCCAGTTGTAAACCTTGTGCCATCAGATTTTTTAAAACAGAAGGTGATGCAATGCCGATAAGTTGCAAGTCCCTCCCCTATGGAAGTACCAGAGCATCGGCGGCGAGCATCCTTAAAGAAATATCAATATATTTACGCTCTGATGGGCACAATTGCAAATGATGGTATTGCAATACGAGCTATATAATACGGAATCAGATGAGGAATGGTCGATCCGGCTTCAGCTGCCTTTTGTGAGTGCACGACTGCATGCCTACTAAATTTAGAATATGCTCGCGACAACAATAATAATAATATAGAAGGTTAAAATGAAATTAAAAGAAAAAAAAAGAGAAATTAAATAAAATAAATAGAGAAAAAAATCAAGTCAGCCGGCGCAGCAACCGCGGACTACGTTTGTAATAATGAGTGGGTGGCCTGGCGGTCACTATACACTTGGGGTCCTCTGAGCTGTATGCAATTCGTTTGATCAAAGTGCATCCTTGGGGACAAATGCAAACAGCAATCTCTAACCAAGTTACAGGGAACGCCATGGCACGGCAATGACTGTAAGTATCACACAGATTCCCCCACCAAATATCGAAACAGCTCCGGCTCCAGCCCCGGCTAACTTGGCCGGATAGATGCTATTTACATTCAATGGGGAAACTAGTCGAGTTTGGAGGGGCGGGGG